TAAATATAAAATTATTAGTGTAGTCATTATAGTATTTTATTTACCTAAGAAAAGGTATAGCTGCAGACAATATCTGGTTAATAGGATATTCAGAGACATAAATCATCTCCAGAACCAGAAAGACACACTCTGTAATAATAATAATGAGAGATCTGTACGAGTTAATACAAAAATAGAGGCCTAAGGAAAGAGGAAGTCATTTTAGATGTGTTTAATAGGATTGAAGTAAAATTCACCAATTCCATCAAACCAATTAACCCCCTGCAATAATAATCCTACCATGCTGCATCCTTTTGTCTCAAATACTACTGTGTGCAAACAGCTACTGTATGTGGGAAGCATTAGCAATCAAAGATTTGCCAAAAAAAGAAACTTGGGTTTTGTGGGTTGTACATGTATCTTGTCACCTGTCTTTCTCCTCTTCAGTTCTGAGGATCATAAGAAAAGGAAAGGAAGACTTTGCTTCAATTGTGTTCTGAGCAGGAAAAGGAAACTGGGTTCAGGGTAGGAAATTACAGTCAAAAAGGAAGCAGCTGCAAGCATTAGAGAAATGGATAAGGAGCACTTGGACTTGCTGAGATTTAGTGTTTAACCACTTCCCTCTACACACAAGGAGTACATCATCGTACCATATTATTTTTGTAACTTTTTTAAGCTTAGAATGTATGGATTATTGTTATTCAGTTATCACTTTCCTCATGGAACACAACGTTTAAACCTACTCTCACAGTTTAAAACTTTCCCATTAGTACAGTGCTGAGATTTATCAATAGAAATTCTAAGAAGTCAAGACAAATTGCTTACCTTCCTGAATTCTTAAGCGAACACTCCTCCTGACCTTTATGGTATCTGAGGCCATCTGTGGCTTACGTTTCTCCCAAACTGACAAACTTTTTTGTTGTTGTTGTTTTAAACGTAGGAAAATGCGGAATTCTGAGATTACCCAAAAAGCTATAGAATGTCAGTTTGTCTGAGAATGGCAGAAGTGCCCTGAAGTGACCTTTCCAGGACCAGAAGTAGGATTTAGAAGATAAGCTAGCAGTGTCACCTCTGCGACGAGACACCTTAACTTACAAAGAAGCTTTAAAGCAAAGTGATGTGACACAGCACTGAAAGCTTCACACTTTGTACATAGCAATAGGTGCACAACAGTGCCTAGGAACATATAAATGAAACATGAACTCCAAGGAAACTATTGCAAAGCCAATATGGCAACCGCATTAACCTAAATGTCCGTCAATGCTTCTGATTTTCAAGCACCTGTTTACCATTCCTCAGCCATACAAATGGCTGTTTAGCATATGCTACAGATCTGGTAACCGACACTCTTGGATCCTACCCTAGGTCCTAACCCAGGATGTTTCATCTAAGAGTTTTGGAAGATGACTCTGTTGTAAGAATAGGTAAAAAAAAAGTTGTAGGTCATCAAAGAATAAGTACAGAGGACATGCAGACTAATTCAACAGAGCAAAGTTCATGCACTATCATAATAGTTCAGTATATTATAAGGCAGTGCTTCCTGTGTTGAATTACAACTTGGGGGTATTAGTGCTCAAAAAAAAGCAAATGGCATATGTTAATGCACGTCCCTCACATTAGAACAAAAAAGGTCCATAAGCATTTAAAAGAAAGAGCTAAAAAAAAAATTATTAAAATTTTAGGCTTTTGCTATCCTCCATCCAAAAGAATGGCCTCACTGACTTCAATATGACCTCCCTACAAAAGCATGACTGGATGCCTTGTTGCTTGACTTTTAGCTTTGTGGATATTTGGATATTTTAATTAGCGTTTTCTGTAGTTTTTAATAAAATTTTAGTCCGGGACTACTACACTTTTTGGAATGTCCCCCCCCCCCCGCTTTATTTTTTGTGACTGACATTCTAATTTAAGAAAAGTAAAAATAAATATGAATTTTGTATTTTTTTAAGCCCCGTTACACACACTTGAATTTTTGTGAAAGGTGGGCACTTTAGAACAGTGGACTTTTTTGGTTAATATGTGCACATTTTTCATTAAGAGGAGTTTTCACCTAGTTGGGTGGAAATGTTAAAACAGTGCTTCAAATTGTGATGGGGATATTACGTTTAGAAAAGGAGAAAGGTTGCTTTTCCTCTTTGATGTCCTTATAATATCTTGAAAGAGGTATTTTTTTTAATCCTGCACCTTACCAATTAATCTCAAACCCATATACTGTACATCATTGTCCTTACCACTAAGCTCATTACCTTTTGAATATTGTCACTGTAAAGAAGTTTAGTTGTTGAAGAGTTTGATTCACTGTGGTTATGTTCTTATATGCTAAGCTTATCACACCCAACGATTTCACAAAACTATGTTGGCTGTGCTGCCTTGGTAAATGGCAAATAATGTGCGAGCAAAGACGACTAGAGTAGGCTTTAAAGCCCGACTCAAGTCAAAACCTTTTTACTTAATTTTGTGTGCATTGGAAAAAAGTGTTAGAACATCTTACAAGTTTTCCTTGCTGTCTGTGACACTCTTAAGAGAGATTACGCTTTACTTTCTATTTGATGGGTGTCAGAATACAAAATGGGGAAAGTCTCCAAAATTGGGGACACGGACAATCGTAAGCTTTTTTTTCTCAGAGATACCGGTGTTATTTTTGGGGGGAGATTTCCTCTTAGTTTCTATCCAAAACACAGATAATGAGGGGAAATATCACCAATTAGTCTTTGTAATATCCCCTTTGTACACCGTACCGATGTACACCAAAATTCAACGGGTGCTGGAACAACTGGTGGATGGCGCCACAATGTACAATCTAGAAGATATCTTGTCCGCACACCATTCTGCTTCGGAATGTCCTTTTTATTTGTATTTTTTTAGCATGACATGTGAATGCAACGTTTTGGAGCCTCACAGGATCCCTTCGTCAGCCAAAGTTTCCACTTTGGCTGACGAAGGGGTCCTGTGAGGCTTTGAAACGTTGCATTCACATGTCATGCTTTTTTACAAATAAAAAAGACATTCCAAAGCAGAATGGAGTGCGGACAACATATCTTCTAGATTATATCCCCAATTAGGACACACACGGTAATACCTGAAAGGGTTTTTTGTTTTTACCCTACCTACTCTATCCATACCTTATGAGTTCATACTTCCAATACGCACTTAAACCTGAAGAAAAAAAAGTACAACTAAAGTACAGAAGTGCTTTGAACCTCTTGTGGAGGTCTTAAGCCAAATAGTAGGGGTTTACCAACCTCAGGGTCCAAATGATCAGCCAGAAGACTTTAAACCCATTACCTTTGCAATTACAGCATCGGGTTATCAATTAAATAAATACATTCCAGAGATTGGCGCTATTAGTGACTGAAGAGAATTGAGCAGGTTTGAGTCCTTGGGCCGACTTAGAACTGCACTCAGAACAGGTAATTTGTGGGAGTCCAAAGTGGGTAACAACCACTACTGCTGGGCAGGATCAATTTCTTTAACGGCACTAAAATAATATTAAATGGTCCCCTAGAAAGAGAACATAGCTCTCTTTCTCCACTGATCTCTATAATATGAAAGAAAAGCCTCCAACTAAAAACAGTTTCTGGTCCCATGCTGTGCTCATTGGTTTTATCCATCGACCCCTATGTCACTGCTATGCCCTGTTGTGACATAGGTGTCAGTAGGAGGAACAATAGCGCAGTCAGGAACCAGGAAATGTTGGATTCTTTACAATCTTCAGCTGGACAATTTTCTTCTTACTGCAGAGATCAGAGGCATATGCAACAATAAAGGTGAGTCTACTATGTTTTCTTCGCAGGGGGGCCAATCATTTGAAACCTTTAGTTTAGCAACAGAGAGGCTTTAAGTGGTTTCTCACCTCTTTAATGAAAGAAGAAAAACAAAAGCTAGATTTCGGGGTACTCAGTTGTATGTACAAATGTGCACATTTGTTTCCAACAGCTGTCACACTTTTATGACCAAACAATTTTGAGGTGACCTGTTATATTTTTAACTTTTAGTAAAGTGGTACTTTATTGAATTATTGTATTCTGTTTTAAAGATCAGTGTGTATGTGCTTTACAGAGACTCTCAATTATTTCTCCTTCACTGAGGGTTGTAAGTTTTGAACTTGGAAGCCAAAAGCAGCTTACATGTTTGGAGGGTTAGTTATATGATGCATCAATATTCCCACTGAAAAGCTTAATACGTGACAGCAGAGACATAAAAGGAACTGACCCACAGAGGAATACACAGAGGGAGGGGAATGCTGAAGACTTATTTATTGAAAAACACACAAGTTCTTACTGTTTACATAAATATAGCAAAGCAGACATGCAAGAAACATTAAAAGTTGGAGCAGCAAAAGATGGACATTTCAAAACAGTTGCTCAAAATCTGGAAACAAGGAGTAAAAACAAGAAGCAATAAATTGCCCTTCAAGAAGATATATATATATATTTCTCCTAATAAACATTAAAATGTGAAATGAAAGTTCAGTTGGAAGAAGACACTAATACAAAGGCTTCTATAATGGACATTGCTATCATTAGAAAGCCAGGCTTAGAGAATGTTCCTTTTCAAGCAGAGGTTAAATTATTATATCTGCGCATAGACAGTGAAACTTAAAATAACAGCATGTTAGGGGGTCTTGCACTTAACCCCAAATTCCCTCTCTTTGGTAACTAGAACTCCATGACAACTAATAAAATTAACGGAAAAACACAAGAGAGCAGCTACGTGAAGTCAGACGAATGTTACATATGATGCATTTTGTATCCATTGCTATCCCTTTTTAAACATAATGGATTTAAAAACAATGTCCTGCTTATTAGAAATAATGTTTCGGTATCAGAAACAAGTTCATAGTGCACGTTTGGACATGGCATAGTTGCACAACACAAGCCAAGTAAGGATCAGTACTTTACATTTTTACACTTACATTTTCCCCAGTGTAGAAGGGGGGATCAGCAGCATTATATTGGGCTACAGATTAACTCAGTGGCAGCAGAGGCTTCTTTACATGAGGGAAGAGAAATTCAACTTACAGAGCCAAAGTTTGCAAAACCGGCAGATGTTCCCTTAGAGTGTTTTCCTGGCTGTGTAGTGGCAAATGGGTCTTTTCCACTGAACGGGTCTGTAAATGCCTTCCGACTATGAAAAGGGTCTCCCGGTTCTGTCCCAAATGGCTGGAAGGGGTCACTGGACTTCTGGAAATGTGCTGAAGTCAGCTGACTCACTGGGGTGTTTTTACCTAGAAAAAAAAAGCAAAAGAATTGTGATGCAATTTATTGTTTTCATGTAGAAAAAGAAAAATAGATCTCAATGGTATTTTAACCACATAAATACATCATTGGCGCACAACATTTTGACGGGATATTTAAAAAAAGGTACAAAAGACAGCATGTTAATTTTTAATAGTAACATACTCGCCTTACCCCAAGCTTCTGTACTGCAAGGGTTGACGTCACCACTCTTTCAGCAAGATCCATGGGAATGCTAGGTCCTCTGCATTTCCTGGGATCTCACTGGAAGGACCATGACATGAAATTATCCTAGGCACCACCGACAAAAGTCAGGAGTATGATAAGTATATTTATGACTTATTTCCATAGAATTTTTTTTAAGCCTTACTGCAGTGTTTTGGGGGTGGGGGTACTGAATAAACAAGAGGGATTTTTTTAATGCATGGTCCACTTTAACTAGCAGGGGATAGTAGGAATCCCTCAAAGCTCATCTGGAGACTTCAAAATGTAAGCTGCAGTTCATGTATCCTGAGAAGTAAGTTGTTTACATGCACTTCCTGGTCTTTACCATATATTGTGATCAAGAATACACAAAGGGGTCCATGTATGCTGCCACTTACTATTCGACCCAGCCAGGATAACACAAAACACAGAACAGCAAAGGGAGGCAGCTATTGTGGATTTATGGTCTCTATTGACCACGTAGAAATGGGTATGCTGCTTTTCTTGGACCATGTGATTATGTGACCAGAAATGACTGATTAAAGTCTTCCTGACCGATGTCAGTGAAAGTAACTTGCTACACATATCAGAAGCACTGATTGAGAAAATAAGCCTGTAGCACATCTTTGACCTTTATGTTTAAAGAACTTTTTTCTTGAGCCATTTAACTTGTTAGCCAATCTCTCGTTTTAGCCTGCTCTATGAAGCCATGCAACTGGCATATGGCTGGCTGCTATCTGGTTGAACGGTTTACCACCGCACCTTTCGGATATGAAAATAACACCTTCTGCAAAGATGCATCTGAATTCCTGGCATTGCACAATGAACGAGATCAGTGAACTTCGAAACAGCAAGCATCTGCAGAAAACCACTAGAATTCCGTTTTCTTTTATGAAGAGGCACCAGCTCTGTACTAAAAAGACAAGAGGATGTTTTTCATGACAAGTCCCATGAGAAAACCCTAGAATCCCCAAACAAAATGTAGTAGCTATATAAAATAGGCAAACTGGAATAAAGTATATGCTGCTACAAATGTTGACATTGGAGTTCACATTCTTCCACAAGACAACAGGTTGTCATATTAAGCAATAAAGGTTAAAGAGTAAGCATATTTTTGGACCACAATCACTAAATGGACAAATATTTGCAAACGTGTGGGAAGTACTCAGTCTTCTGACTTTTAGTATACAGAGCCCTCCCTGATATAAAATAACAAACATGTACAGCTGCTATTTTACGACAGCCCCGCTGCAGAAAAAGCCAGATCATAGTTATCAGTCTATCTGTCATTCCTGCGAGTCCCAGGATGACAATAACAATGGCTTAATTTGAAGGCAACTGTACGAAAAGAATAAGGAGGCAGCCTTAGATTATCTCTTTTCCACAAAAATACTAGTTGCCTGACTGTGATGCTGATCTAATAGCTTTAATTCTTTCTCAGCCACTGAACTGGCACATGTGTACAGATCAGGCGTTTTGACTATACTCTGACTTTCTATCCTGCACCTTTGTTCCAGGTCTGTGACTCAGAAAAAACTGCAGCCAGAGACAGCCAAGCAAGAAATGTAACCATCAGAATCATACTGAAAACAGTGATGCAGCATATATTTTAATCTGCTCCTCTGCTAGTTATGACCTCCCCCAAGGCATCCATTCTAAATATGAAAATCTAAAATGCCTCAGACGATCTCCTGCCAAATCACTATCCTCATCAGCTCAGGGGCTGCCCCGCACAGAGATCAGCGATTCCATCCAGCGGATTCAAAGAAACAAAAAGCAGAGAGCCGCCTCCATGTGTAAAATAATTTATTGGATGTACAAGAACAAATTAAACTATACTCACAAGTGTAAATGAGCAAATGCTTTTATCGTCACACTTTCAACTGGTTACAGAGGAACCTGACTGGAGATACGACTGTCAGTTACATTCCTGACTCTTCCAGCCGCTGTGTGCCTTGGTTTATGCGTTTCAGAACCAGAGCTTGGCTCGCTAGAGACCAGATCTTAAGATTAGAAAACTAGCCAATCAGATAGCATCTACCTGTTGCCGTGGAATACACTGATTGGCTGACCCATCAGCCCATGCCGTAAACTCAGTTAGTTGTCATGCCCACACCACTCCACGGCTCGTATGTGATATTTCAACAAAATACCTCACATCTTTATATTATTATAATACAGGATTTATATAGCGCCAACAGTTTGCGCAACGCTTTACAATATAAGGAAGACATTACAATCACAATACAATTCAAGACAAGATGGTAAGGTGGGCCCTGCCCCTGAGGGCTTACAATGTAAAAGGGAGGGGCAAGTGATACATGAGGAGGTAGCTGTGTGGGGATGAATTGTTTGAGAACGTGATGATTGAGCGGTTAGGTCGAGGTGGTATATGCTTCCCTGGAGAGATGAGTCTTAAGGGATCGCCTAAAGGCAGAGTGGGAGGTAGTCAGACAGGTTGGGGTAAAGAGTTCCAGAGGATGCATATAGCAAACGGCCTGTCATCCAAAGCCTTGTGGTTAGCTTGCTATGACTGACTTAAGATTGTTAATAGCACGGGGTATTATCCAGAAAACAACCATACGGCTGTCATTCATATGTGCAGGATGATTATATTCTAAATATGCACATCTTCCAATCAATCATGGACGTTTTATTCTGCAGCCAATACCTCTAGACTCATGTTTTAGGGGAACTGCTAGATGCAACAGTTCTGAATAAAGAAGAGTGCAGAGGTTGCACATCTGTAACCAGGCATCCCTAACTTTTTTTTTGTTAGTAGAAATCATATTCCTACACATGCCCAACATTAGGGTTGCACAGATACCAAGTACAGTACTCGGTACAAATACGAGTACATGTACCGATACTTTTGAGCTCCAAGACTACACTAGAGAAAAATGTAAAAATTAGGAGGCAGCTGTCATTTGTAAGGAGCACACGGGGCTCCTGGGATTTGGACATCTCTGTTTTAATGTATGATTTTGTTTTTATAAATATAAATAAAGGGATGCACAGATACCAGTTTTGCGAGTACGAGTACTGGTACTTGCCGAGTACTTACAAGTACAAGTACTGATACATTTTTGTTTATTGTCATGTGACAGTTTTTCTAAAACAATACAGACTAATGATTTCAGGACAGTGGGGGAGCGCCAGAGCCAGGTCCCAGCTGCAACCACTGCAACCCTGGTAGTTCTCATGAAAATGCCAAGTATCTGCACTGGTACTCGAAAAGCATCTGTGCATCCCTAACATATGTATTATGGAAGGACATATAGCATCACCCTGGGCACCCTTGATTAAGTGGGATCTGGGGCCCAGTAAAAATGTCAGATTTATGAAATCTCACCTAAAACGAAGCAATATTTCAAGACTGCAGGCTAGTGTAACTCCACCATGGTACCCTTATCTCATATAATTTCTAATGCGCTAAAATGACCACTGGAAAGATAAACAAGTTTACTACTGCTGATGTATGGGCAAATGTAGGCTTTAAAATATAAATCAGCATTATTACCCACAAAACACACTGAAATGTTCTTATTTATATCTGACTGGAAATGTATCTGTTTTTTGGACAGAGATAAACCGACCTCAGAGGGTGGGTGACTGTGGCACGTCGTTAACACATATCAGATATACTTGACTAAGAAGAAAAAAAAAACACTGAAAAAACCCGTGAGAACGGAACTTTAAGGCTTCATTTCAAAGGAGAGGTGTTAACCACTGAACCAGCACGATGGCACACTGTCACCATACTTGATCTCTAACAGGTCACTTATAGGATAATTAATTGTTCACACAAACCTTACTCATTTACAGCTGTTGAGATGCCACATTTCCACATGTAATGTTACTCTGAGGCGTGGTGTAAATGCTCATGTTCCTTTTTTAAAGTACTGTTTGTTGAACTGTATTGTAAGTGTAATAACACTGTAATAAACACAGGCAAAACTTGATCATGCGAGAACTCGTCAGTGTAAATAGGTGATACAATTTGTTTCTCATCTAAAAAAAAAATTCTCCTAGTGTTAGTGGGAAATGCTTAAAGCTGGGGTCACCAACCTTTTCCACAATAAGGGTAATTTTTACAAGAATTAGACAATTGCCATGCCTGTGAATAATAGTACGCCATAGTCACATCATTTGTTTTATATTTGTATTTACTCATTAGTGGTACTGCTAATGGCAAGTCAAACTTAACCACTTGAAGTCCGCGGTGTTTAGACCCTCTTCCCATACTGCCCATTTTTCAGTATTCAGCGCTGCAGTACTTTGACTGACGTTTATTCCGTCATGCAACGCTATACTGAAATACATTTTATGCCATTTTTTGGGGACAGACAGCGCTTTCTTTTGGTGGTATTTAACCACTTCATGACTGAGCTAGTTTTCAGTTTCTGTTTCTCAAATGACTGACACGCTTTTAAAATGTTTGCTGTGTGATTCTTCCACAGCAGTAATATACTTTCTTACTAAATGTACCCACACATATTATATATAGTTTTTTTAGAGGACAGATAGGTACATGTTTGATATAATTATATAGCCCTAACGCCTCACTTAGTTTGAATAAAATATAAAAAATGAGGGGAAGAAATAGAAGAAAAAACACTTTTTCACAAGTTTTGATTATTTTTTTGAATTTTTTTAAAATATTTATAGTCTAAAAATATATTTATATATCATTTTTATTTTCCTAATTTTGTTTTACACTTTATTAATTTTTTTATACTTTGTAAAAAAAAACAAAAACTTTTTTTGTTGTCAGTTTATATCAAGC